AGAAGACATCAGGACGGCTAATGTCATCGCTGCTGAAGCAGTTACCTGCCTCGTCATCGACAGAGAGTGAGTTTTTCTGTCTTCTTATTCAACTCAAGTTTATTTGTATAGCACTTTCCAAGAATAGAGTGGAGAAACTATGACGTCATATTTTAGGCTAATCGGCTGCTAGCATAAAACTGGTTCCCTCGATAAAATCCCAATAAGATTTTGCCATAAGCTTTTTGAAGATTGCAAATAATAAGCTCTGTGTTCAAACACAGTTTATTACACTTACACGTTTTGTCCAGCTGGATAATCCTCACACGAAAATTCAACTTTGAGCACTTTTGGATCTTAAATGCAAACGCAAGAACTGACAAGCTAACATTAGGCTATAAACAGACTACAGTGCCCTCAGGGCGCTCGTCTGTGACATCAGCCCCAATCAAACTTATTTTTAGAAATAATGTCCATGACAAAGAGTTAATCTATCTGTTTAATATATTAGAATCCACGCTATATATTAATATTATAAACAAATAAATACGCAAATACACATAGACCTATGTGCCTTTTGGATTGTTTTTACGTGGGGATATGCATCTGTTTTGCTTTATGTATAAATGTGCCAACATAGAACTATCATAAGACATATTTAAATAAGTGTATCGCTCGCGTGCACAAAGCCTGCTTACCTTAACAGATGACAGAAATGAGGCGTGAGGAACAAGTCTATCAAATGCCCTTTAAGTTCCATAATGGATAGAGAACAACATTCAGTATTCTTTTTATGTCACGAAGTACAGCGAAAATCAGCCTATACAGTCACATATGCTATACATTTTATAGAGGAGAGTAAATATTGCAGTTATGACAGAGTTAAATGTGTTCAGATGAAGAAAAAAACGACGAAAAATCCCCTTGATCACGTTAAAATGACAGTTAACATGCATGTATTTTTACACATTTATTCACACGTTTGCATTACTGAGAGCAAGACAGAGACAGACTGCATGGGTAAGCAGTATCTTCATAATATCGTTTAATTTAATTAAATGATCAACAAATTAATCTGTCTCGACTGCCTTTACGAGGGAAGGAATTACCTACACACAATATGAAATCCCAATTAGAAAAATACTACAAACTATAAAATACTGTTCACGAAAATACTTAAATAACAGACAAATCCAAATGTCCAACGCAAGCGAGCTGCGCTCCAGATCAGCTTGATGACGTATAATGTCTACGACACCGCCTGTAGTCCCATTTAGCAACTTGATAGCAACCGTCTTTTTAAAGATGCATAACCGATTTAAAAAATCAAGAGTGAGATGTAACTGATGTGTTTCATGTTGTAGAACAAAACGTGAAAGTATCTTGAATTTGTGTTAGCCACGAACCTTATTTAAGCGATTTTACTGAAATCCCATTTTAAAAACCCATTGACTTTGGGAGGAGGGAACCGGAACTGCTAAAATGTTAACTCGCCTCCGGGTTTTTGCATACAATTTGACATCATAGTTCTTCCACTCTAAAGCACTTTACAAAAGGGTCACGTTATAATTATAGTATTACAATCAAAATCAGAAAATGTATTAGTTACCATAACTTCTTTAGTTGCTAATTACTTTAATTAACTAGTAACTAATAGCTTTTAACAGTTAAAGTTATTATATATGAAACTAGTTAGCCTGCAGTTATACAGCATAGGTGATGTCTATGTGAACATGTTCAATGAAGTGTATAAAGTGTATGTGTTGTCCTGAAGTCGCATCTTTTCGCAGGTCTCGCAGTTCATATGTGTGCAGATGCTGTGAAATACGATTAGTCTTATCTTCTCCACCGTGAGTCCACTAATTGACCGCTGCTAATTTCTAATGACCTCTCACGACTTTCACTGCGGCAAGTTTATGCTAGTTCATGCCTGAGAGCAAAATCTTCTAGTTACCATCCTTAAACAGCAGACTGTCAGAAAACACGCTCTGTGCTGGTTTGAGTGGCACAGCGTGTGGCGACACAGTCAGCGGGACACACAAACCTCTCGTCCCTGCAGACATCCAGAGTTTCCTTCCATTTGAGGAAGAGATCAAATAAGTGCAGACTGACTTTGACTTTCTCTGCTGGAAATCAGCAGTTATCTCAATCCTGTCAGTTTGAGGGTTTACACTAATGCTTATTAAAATACTCTAGTTATTGTAATAATGTAATATTCTGCCTGACCTGTGATCAGTGGGGATTGTAACTATACTGAGTCCTGCAGTCGAATCCCTGTAGTCAATATTTCAGCAGCTTGGCATGTAGCAGTATTTTTGTGTTGTTCGTTTTCTCCGTTGGGATTTTAGAGAAATGTTTTACAGTAGTTTTGAGCAGAGGGGAGATGCTGTCACTGCACTCCAATGCTTTCATTAGGTGTTTGCTCAGAGACTGGAAAAGCGTGATGCTTTGTATTTGTGGGCTGCCCATTATATAGCAGTTTTCTTCCTGATTTAGTAAGGTATTATAAGTATTTTACACAAAATTTTCAACTTATCCAACTTAAAAACTGGTTCAGTTGCTATTGTAAGTAACTATTTGCATGTGTCATGCTTAAGCGTAAAATCTGAAGCTAAATAGAACTTAACTAAAAAGTTAAACGTGTCAAGTGCAACTAATTTGATCATACGAAATGATTTTAATCAAAATATGCAATGGGGTATACGCCGAGCTAATGTGTTTCCCATACTGATAAACTTCCAGTGATCTGTTAGTGTTTTTTTTATTTTATTTTATATGGTTCCTTTTGCAGCATCGATGTTGTAATGTAATTAAAATACAATCAGTTAAACAGACTTTGGCATTAATTTAAATGCTCAAGCGTAAAACAAGACAAAAAGCCGTTTGCTCACATGCTCCCATCAGAATCGGCAGGCTAGTGCAAAAGCTCCATTAAATATACTGGGGTAAAATAAATGCTCATATTATAAAGACAAGGTTAGGGAAAAAATCAATTTTATTCAGTGCTTCTTGTACAATCTGAGACCCACTTTATATCGGATATCACTCGGCCAGTGGAGATAGCTGATTTTTAAAGAAAACAGACCTTAAACGTGCCGATTTTGCATTGGCATACAATTCACCAGAAACGATTAACCCAGGTTACTGGCAAATTAAAAGTCCTATTAGCATGCTTGGGCTTATACCCTATTAAAATATTAGTTGGTTAAACTGAGTGAATGGAAAATATACTGACATACAGTTAAAGGCAAAAATATTAGCCCTCCTGTAAAATATTTATTAGATGGCAACTACAATTAGGCATTAGCCTGTATAAGATTCTGACGATATATGATAACCTTGGATATAAAAATCACGGCTTCACGGTATAGAGAATACTGCTCTAAAATGTATTCTATTTAAATGTCTGGGTAAAAAACAAAACCTTTTTTCCCTTTGTACACAATATATTTTAATTTGGGAAACATTTAAAATATTTTGGAGCAGCAAACATGTCAGGCTAAATAATTCTAATCAATTCTGCTGTCTTCATTTGTTTCAAAAACACAAGTTTATTTACAATATAAAACGGCATTTTTTTAATATATCTGAGGTACTTTTGTCTTAAAAAAAAAAGAAACAAAGGAAATAAAAAAGTCTTACTCATACCTCAGGAACGGTATTACAGAAAATTTTGACGGTTTTAAAACCTTGACGTTTAAAAAAATAATAATAATAATAATTATGCGTACGATAACAGCGATGTGATCAGTAAATTGATTTTAATAGGCTAAACCTTTTATTTTACTTTCAATTTTCTAATGTTTGTTATGTATACTATCATTTGAAGCTAATTTCCTCTCCATCTTTGTAACGGTTGTTCAGGGCGAATCCAGTACTTTTATTTCCCAATGTTGACAGGTATAGTTTAATCACTTGCTTTTCTGACACACATAGCCTACTCTAATGCACAGTAAGCTGATCTAATTTCTAATTTAAATAAGTAAATTCAATTCATATATTCAAAATACAAGTTAATGTTTAAATTTTAAAGATATACAAATAAGTCATACATACATGCAACATATATTTGACAAAATTGATCAAAAATAATTTATATATGAATATGATGATATATAGCCTATATTTATGAGGTCCAAGGAACATTTCCAGGTTTTGATGAACAGGCTACTTTATGATAATACTTTACATTTAAGTGCAGCAGTTTTCTTTTCACTTTTAAGTACATTGCCATTTTTAATTAACTTTCAAAAGCACATTTTAATTTAAATGTTGAGGTTTTATTTATCTTTTTTTTTATCAGCACAGCAGTGTTAATGTTCAAACAACTTATAATGTTTAAAGTGTCTGACAATAATAAATATTCATAATAATAAGGCCTGCTACACTACTGTATTTCAATACCAGTAATGGCCATGGTGGTACTTGGGGAGAGAAAAAATTTGAGGTGGTACTTGATGAAAAAAGTTTGAGAACCACTGGTGTAAGGGATGGTCAACAGTTTAATTAAAGATGTATTTACAGAAATTAATTATAGATGTAATTACAGGCAGTTGCTTCATCAGTCATGTACAATGTAAAAACATGTATTTGCACAATAAGTACATTGTAACAAATGATTAATTTCAGTGTAACTACATATTAGTTAAGGCCACTTAATATAAAGTAGAACCGACCATTTTTTTGCCATAATTTTGCCTTTAAATTAAGAATTTTGCAGAATCGCAACATTTTTTGTTGATTTTGCATTGGATTCAAAAATTGCGAAAAACTAGGGAGTCTGAAAAATAACACATGCCACACTAGATGCACATACTGATGTGCATTCAACATTGTGCAGTTGAGCAGGCTTGACAAACCAACTGTAGAAACACTCTTCTTTCTGTATATAAAATAACCTCCCTCTCCTTACTCTAGCACTTCATTCTCTAAACCAGGGGCGTCCAAACTCAGTCCTGGAGAGTCGGTGTCTTGGAGAGTTTAGCTCCAACCCTAATCAAACACACTGGAACCACTTAATCAAGCTCTTACTAGATGTACTAGAAACTTCCTGGCAGGTGTGTTAAAGCGAGTTGAAACTAAACTCA